TAGTGTGGCCGGATGGAAAAAGTGATGTGTAGACTCTTCATAGCATCCCTGCCAGTGACGTGCTAGAAGTCATGGGGTCTATTTCGTCCTTCCTCTCAAGTTGCCCTGCCTCATGCTAGACTTGAGTGTTTCCTTCCTTGATTCAGCTTTGAACTTACTCCTCTCGGGTTTCTTCCCTGCCTCTTCTCTGTTGCAATTGCAAATACAGGCACCACATGCTCACACCCACACTCACAGGGACACACACCCATACTCACAGGGGCTCACATCCACACTCACAGGGGTTCACATCAACATTCACAGGGGCTCACACCCACACTCACAGGGGGTCACACCCACACTCACACCTACACTCACAGGGGGTCACACTGGCTCACACCCACAGGCTCACACCCATACTCACAGGGGCTCACACCCACACTCATGGGCTCACACCCACCCTCACAGGGACTAGCACCCACACTCACAGAGGCTCACACCCACCCTAACAGGGACTAGCACCCACATTCACAGGGGCTCACACCCACACTCATGGGGTCACACACACACACACACACACAGGGGCTCACACCACACTCATACACATTCACTGGAGGAAAACTTGGACAGAGTTTTCAGAACTCATGAGGCGAGAGGAGGGGAATTCGTATAGTAGTAAACATTTGACATGCCTCCTCTCAGTTGGACCCTATCCCATCAGTTTGCACGGAGCCAGCACCCACCAACCCAAGGCGGCCCACGGGTGTCAGTGGAACTGAGCTCCATAGGGCTTTCCGTGGCAGAGTTTGTGAAGCAGGAGATCCAGGTACTCCTTCTTAGGAGCCCCTAGGTGTCTTTGAACCGCCAATCTATCAGCAGCCGAGTGGGTTAATCATCCCTATCACCCAGGGACTCTTGAACTTACAACCTCCTGCTGTCATCCCATCCATGGGATGAGGGATGGACGATTCAGAGATGCTGAGTGACTGGCTCAGATTCCGTGGTCCACATGCAGAGCTGGACCCAGGTCCCTCTGTCCGAGTTTTACCACTTGTTGCTGGCAGCCAGGAAAAGAGGGCCCTTCGTCTCCACAGGACTGTGAGGACTGGAAGCTTGGCGTGCCCTCCTCATTCAGTAATGGCTAGTGGGACACGCGGTGGGCCCCCAGCTCTCCAGCTCTTCCTGAAGGTACGGGAGGAGGTTGAGCCGGAGAGCTGGCAGGGCTGGACGCTTCCTGTTGAACCTCCGGCAGCTGGCTTCCTCCTTGGGAATACATCCTAAGTTCTCTGGTCCTGTCGGTAGTTACTAAAGGGCGGGTCTTCAGAGGGAGGCACGAGCTGTCAGCACAGTGTCCTCAGAGAGGCAGAGGACTCTGAGGCTCCACTCTGCCACCTTTCCAGGAGCACGGGGAGGGGAGGGCCCTGCCCTGCCAGCTCACTGGGCACCTGGCCTTTTCTTCTTCTTCCTTTCGCATTAGGAACTGATGCTGTGCTATCTGATCAAACCCTCCACCATGACTGACCAAGAAATGGAGTCACCGGAGTGTCTGAAAAGGATGAGAGTTCAGGTGGGTGAACTCAAGGGTCACGCAGTGCCATCTCAGAGGATGGGCCTGGGGTTGTAGCGTCTGGGACACGTGGTGCCCGGAGAAGAAATGAACAGTGCATGCCGTGGAACAGAGAGCCAGCCCAGGCCCCATCAGCCTGCCTCTCACCTCCTGCCTGCACACGGCTCCCAGTGCACGCAGTCTCTCCGTCTGCCTGGTCCTGGGGCCCCTGCTGCTGCTGCTCTCAGGGCTGTAGCCTGGGCACCACCCCCATCCCTCAGCTGAGCCCGCTGTATATATTCAGGGTGGCCTGTGAGCCCCACTTGGCCAGACCCCTCTAGGCCTCATCCCCAAAGACCAATGTGGGACGGTCCTTGCTTTCTGCCGTTGGAGCTTCAGGTGCCTCTGTGTTTTGCTTTGTTTCAGGAGGTGATTCTGAGTCGTTGGGTCTCTTCACGAGAGAGGAGCGACCAAGACGAACTCTAACGGCCCAGTTCACGTCCGACTTCAGTGACCAGTCCTTGTGAGTCTGCTACCACCTGCCAAGTTCAGGGCTAGGTCCAAAAGGCTAGTATTGAAACTGCCCATTATTAAAACGTTTTCAAGGGCCTAGTGAAGGTGTTACTGTGAGTGTTTGAACCGACCGGATTGCGGGAGGAGAAGGGCGAGCCCCGATTCCGTGCTCCAGCCTCTGTCTGCGTCCTCATCCGCCGAAGGAGGAGGCTGAATGGGAGGATTCTGGAGAGGCCTCTTCCAGCACAGAAAACTGCTGCTCTCCGGTTTTGCTTGAAAACGATGAACACTGCATCTATCCGTCTGCAGATTATATGCTGGCCTTCTGCAGAGGGTGCCTGGGCCCCGCGAAGCACCAAGTACCCAACGAACTCACTCTTCTTGAACCTGGGGAGCCTGTTTGTGGTGGTACAAGTACAGCATCAGTTACCAAAGAAGTGATGACGTGTGCAGATAGACCACGAATGCGGGTGAACGTAGTAAAATACAGCAAACAGAGCTCTTTCGTTGGTTGCATTTGACAGCAAGAGGAGCCGGGTGGGCAGCAGGATGGTTGCTGTGTGGTTTGGTGGAGGACACACAGTGAATTAGTGTGAGTGAGAGAAAGGGAGTGAATGCGAGTGTGGGAGAATGACTGAGGACGCACAGTGTCCACACTCGTCCAGTGTGTGGACTCCAGAAACTGGACGACAGTCTCCTCTTCGCTCCAGACTCCAGAAGCGAGCAGCCGTGACCTGGCTTTGCTTATACCTTCTTCCTCCCCGGCTGCTGTCAGGTCAATTCCGATTCATAGTGAACCTGTGTCAATAGCCTGTGCTCCGTAGAGTTCGCAGTGACTGGTTTCTCAGAAGTAGATTGCCAGGCCTTTCTTCCATAGCACCTCTGAGTAGACTTGAACCTCCAGCCTTTGGTGAGCAGCCAAACGTGTTCACTGTTCAGACCTTGCAACCAGTAGGACAAAAAAAGAAAAGGAAAGCGGGCGTCCCTTGGCCTGTGGTCTTAGGGTTCCTGACATAAGATTCTGATTCTCTGTGGTTGTGGGTTGTAAGGTGCTTCTCGTCATGTGACGGTCCTGCAGCAGCCTGCCTGCCTGCACGCTCTGGGTCTGAGCGCTAGCGTGCTAGGCATGGCGCTGCCCTGCCTAATCTTGACCAGCTGTTGGAAAGTTTCTCAGCAGTAGCCACTTTTACTTGGTGAAAGCAAAGGGAGGCTTGCACGTTGTTTGCGCTTCACTAGTGCTAATACTAGTTCTTCCGTACAAGCGTTTACCCTCCATCGTGCCTCATCCAGGTCCTCAGCAAAGGAGAAGATTTCACTTTCTCAAAACCTCGGAGGGAAGCAAAAAAAAATCTTGGGCGCTTATCTTCCTTATTCCAGTCGTCATCTATGCGAATCACCTTGTTTCCAGCCAGAGCCGTGTGAGAAGTGCCGCCTTAGTAAAAGCTCTTCTGTAAAACCTTCATCTGGGTTACTGGTCTGAGGACCCACCCCACATACTTCAGCAGCAGCTAATGGACTGTCAAGGTCGCCCCAGCTCCTGGGTGGGTATCCCAAAACAATGATGGTGCTGATCATGCTTGTAACCGAAGACTCCAGGCGGATTTCCAGAAATATCTTTATTCCAAGAAACCTGTGTGAAAGATTGTCCTCCTTTGTGTATATGATGTGAACCCCACTTAGTGGGCAATGTGCTCTTCACTCTCAAAGTGGCCTGGGGCTTCAGGAAGGGGTTTGGCTTTACATCACCCTGTTTTCAGGTAGAAGTAGTACCCCACTATCTTTGGAGACTATGTGTGTGCTACTCCCCTCCCCCTCCCTTTTCCTCTCTGGAAATAAATGAACACAATTGGAGAACTACCTTGCAATAAAACCACCCTCCCCAGGAGTTTCCTGCAGCTCATAGGGAAGACACTGAAGCTTTCCTTGAAACATAAGCTGTCTTAGGTTTTCAGCCAAATCCACTGCCATCGAATTGATCCCAACTCATAGCCACCCTTTATAAGGTCCCTGAGGTGGCTGGTGGGTTTGAACCATTGACCTTGTGGTTCGCAGACCCATAACCACCACATAGCCTTAAGTATCTTGAACCTGTAAGATCACTTTCCACACTTAAGTTAAAACAAGTCTTTCACCACGTCATCTCTCCCTTCTGCATTTTTAGCTCCTGAGTTCATGGCCTCCACTGCACCAAAGGAGTCTGAACCCCCCAGCCACCCCAGGGGGAAAGAGGAGGTTCTCCGCTTCTGTAAAGACACCCAGTCTCGCCTCACCCCCCACTATCATGACCCCAGTGCTGCCTTTCACTGCGGGCTAGACCGGATGATGTACACAGGTACAGCAAAGAGCTCAGGCCATATGGCATCCAGGTCACATGAACCTCTGAGGAACAGAAATGGGAACAGCGATACCAGGAGGATAAGGGGAAGGTGGGGGGAAGTAACCGCAATGAACAACATGAACAACACACAACCTCACACACGTATTCTCCCAGGGGCACGAACGACAGAAACTAGGGGAAGGGGAGACCGCGGTCAGTGTAAGATAAGAAAATTAAAATATAACATCAAGGGGGTCATAAGTGTGGGAGGGAAAAAAAGAAACACACCAATAGCTCAAATAGAAAGTAAATGTTTAGAAAATAATGATAGCAACATATGTATAAATATGCTTGATACAATAGATGTATGGAAGAGCTCTAAGAGCCCCCATAAAATGATCCTTTAAAAAAAAAAGATTCCCAGTCCCGGAAACCCTGTGTAGGGGTCACAGTGGGTTGAAACGGTCTTGGTGGCAAGGGGTGTGGCGCTGACCACCCCAACATGATGCTGGGTGGCTTCGCATGGACTGGACGCTGCGGTACGAGGGGCGCTGGCTTCCTGAAAGCAGCACAGGGTGCCCAAGAACACCGGGACACTTTGTGACCCAGCCGGACTCCCGCGCCTTTCACAGTTACTCAAGGCAAAAAACAAATCATGTAGGCCAAAAAGGAGAACTCAATTGTTTTTCAGATTTCTTTTGAATCATTTTATTGGGGGCTCGTATAACTCTTACCACAATCCATACATACACCCATTGTGTCAAGCACATTTGTACATTTGTTGCCATCATTCTCAAAACATTTGCTTGATACTTGAGCCCTTAATATCAGCTCATTTTTCCCCTCCCTCACAAACCCTTGATAATTTATAAATTATTATTTTGTCATGTCTTACACTGTCGGACGTCTCCCTTCACCCACTTTTCTGTTGTCTGTCCCCCAGGGAGGGGGCTGTATGTAGATCCTTGTGATTGGCTCCCCCTTTCTACCCCACCGTCCCCTTCCCCTCCTGGTATCGCTACTAGGAGCACTCGTGTATAGTTCACATCTTCACCTTCCTCACTGTAGTTCACGTCTAGCTTTTTCTGATGTATGCGATTGACTTGTAACCACTCCCATTCACTTGCGCTGACATGGTGACCCTGTGGGCAGGCCCAGGAGCACTGTGGCCTGGGCGTCTTCGTGGTCATTGTTAAGCTTGCCTCCATGGTGGCAGCCACGGGGTCTGCAGAGTGCCTCCGACACTGGGGCTCGTCCCCAGCACCACGTCGGGCAGTATTCTCGTGTGGCTCAGAGCGTCATCATCAGCTGATTGGCAGCAGTAAGTCACCAGGCACGAAGCCCTGATAGCGCAATGGTGGAAGTGTTCAAGTTGCTAACTCAAAGGTGGGTGGTTTGGACCCACCAGTCACTCCGAGGGAGAAAGATGAGGCAGTCCGTGTCCATAAAGATGACAGCCATGGAAACCCTATGGGGCAGTTCTACTCTATGTGTCAGGATTGGCTCGGCGTCATGGGTAGTAGTAGATTGCCAGGCCTTTCTTCCCTATCTGTCTCAGTCTGAAAGCGCTGATGAAATCTTCCTACCATGTGGAGGACCCTGCTGGTGTTGAAACACTGGTGGCACAGCCCCCAGCTTCACAACATTGTGCCAACCACGACAGTATGCAAAGCTGACATGGCGGATGGGATGTCTTGGTTCCCTAAAACACATACTTTCTTCATAGCCTTCCCTGTTCTCTCAGAGTAGTTCTTAATATGGGACTAGTATGAGGTACTAGTCCATGTGTATGTCAGCACAGGCATGTGAACATTCCTAAGGATGGCCGCCTGAGCAACATCTGTGTCTGGCCCACACATGCTCTTCTGCTGCAAGCTCTTGCATTTATTCAAATAGCCAATATCGAGACATTTTGCAAATCATGCTCACAGCATGTTCTGGTTTATCCCCACCACAGCCTTGTGACTTACAGGCTGAAGACTCTTCACAAGAGAAGATTTGAGTCTCTGCATTTCACCGCCAGCCAGCGCTTTATGGGGAGGGAGGGCAAGGCTGGCTGTGCCTTTCGAGAGTAGCCCAGGAGAAATGTCCCTAACAGAAAAGCCCAAGCAGCCAGAAAGATCAGGGTAAGTCACAACCATAGTCCTGCAAAACCTTGGAAACCTTTATCCAACAAAGCTATCCAAACATACAGCTGATGCTTCTCAACATATCCTCCACCTGTGTCTGCACATTTCTGAAAGGAGTGTTTCCATCTCTTAACCATTCCCCCAAAGAATCCTGCACTCTTCGATTCACACCACAATCAAAAGGGTAGCTTGGCATCCCCAGGGGACTCGAATTGTACTCCCTTTTCATGTTCGTTGAGTTTGGGGAACAAAAAGAATTGCGAAGGTCCAATATGGTAGGGCCCAGGGGCTGTATGAACTGAGGAGTTCACCAACTTCGTTATTATTGTTCTGTTTTAAATGTATGTAGGAATTACTCAAGGTGGTAAGGGTGATTGATGGCAGAAGAGTACACGAATTAAACACCAAAGTTCCAGGGACAATGGATGCCAGCCAACAACTTGATGCCCGTAGACAACTCTGAGTCTTTGATGGTAGCTCCCTCCAGGAGGGACAGAGCCACACAAGATTGTGTAGCTCGGACCACAACACTCGTAAGAAACCTCTGAGAAGAGAGAAAAGAATTTGGGTGATTTAACGTTACTAAAGCAAAGACAGTTAATAAAGATCAGACAAAGTTGAAATGGATGCAGTCAGAGCTGAGTGTTGAAGTA